CGGGCCCCGTATTACGTTCTACTAAGTGTCGTGCTTCAGTACAGGCCGAGTTGTAACACATGAATCACTGGGCAAGGTGATAAACTGCTTGGGCGCTAGTACTCTAATGACTTTAAAAAATGGCCAGCTAGTCTGTGATGTCACCAACTCCAGGGGCTCTTATGGCAGCTTAGGAAAAGCAGAGCTGCATGTCAGTTTGGATTTTGCTGGTCGCATCAAAGGTTAGTCCCTCTGCCTACAAATGTTGCAGCCAGTTTTCCTTAGCGGCAGTTTTCAGCGACAAGGATAGATCGGAGAGGTCGTACTAAGTCTTCTGGGTTACCGGAGACTGTGATTCGGCCGTTTTCAGGTGACGGATGTTGTTCTTCCAAACGGTCATAATGCAACGCAGTAGTCATCTCAAACCTTTCTGTGTGGATAGAATATCCACAAGTTCAAAACACCAGCTGAGTCTCCCAACTCATGTTCTACAGCTTGTAACATGGCAGGGTATGATGGAAATACTTGCTGTAATCTGCGACAGCTTTCAGCCAGGATTTCCAACGGAAGCAAACCAGTGCAGGTGGGCCAATTGGGTTATCTACGCCATTCTGAGTAAGCTACTCTATATAGAAACGAGTCTTTTTTCCTGAAAGATGATAAGCACTTTTTATTTTGCAACAAATTTGCGACTTCCGGAGAGAACTTGCGAATAGTCTCTCCAATCAAGTTGATGCAATGAGCAACACATCTGATGTGAACTGAATCCTCACAAACAGGCTTGATGATATTTTAGTAGCATGCTGACACATATTTAGCGCTAGTGAACACGGAGATCGTCACGATTTAAGTCTATACCCATCATTGTCAAGCTGTGCAGAATGGCTCCTCCGATTGCAGCAGAACTGACTCTCTTCATCGTCACCGTGTCGATGAGGTCTACTCGGAGACTGTCCTTGTTGGATTTCAATGGTGCGCATAACAGGATGTGTAGTTCCATCTTCCCACGATCATCACTTGTTTCGTCTGTTATAACGCAGACAAAGGTAGCACGGAACATCTCTTTCAATAGCTGATTATGTTTCCCGTAGTTGCGAGAATTTTCAGACTTAGCGCGTTAGATCCGGCTATGCTTCCACCATTTCGTACGTGTCTATGAAGGGAATTCCTCAACTTTGGGTTGTCGACCTTCACTAGAGGGATATTCCGAGACCATAGCAGGTAGAACATCAGATATCATGGCGTTATAGCTAACGATGCTTGCTTGTCGGGCTCTTTTCGGAGCTGGTTCCCATTTGGCGGCGAGCTTGGCCGCTTCTTCCCCATTGTGAGCTTTCTTTTGAATATGCTGCTGGCTGCGAATGTGGTTAACCACGGTTGATTTTCGAGATGGATCCACAGTTACTTTACACGATTTACAAAATGTTGCTTTTTTATCTGGGTTATTGACGTAGTATTCTTCAGGGAATTCCTTCACTCTGTCCAGAGCAGTCTTTTCTCCTACATGTTGTTTCATTCTCTGAGATACAATCTGCAAATAATACTGTAAGCGGCAGATTCTCTTGGTTCTCGAGTAATAGGTCAAACGAAAACGAAATGATGACTGAACTGCGGTACTATACAAAGGAAGATGAAAATTCCATGATGAGAAACCTCAACAGTAATCGCTCAGTACTGGAAGAACATTATCTTCACGAAGTACTGAAATAGGGTACAAAACACTGTTCTCTCCACTATACTGACGGATGGCGGCGACTTCATTCCATGAGTTTATATGGCAATACCGCTTCCTATGAAACGACGTAGCCGCTGTTCATCGCCTAGGAGGCGAGAATGCATTAAGTTCTCGGTTGACCTTACTTTGGTGCCGTATGTGCCTTTCAAGCATCCGCCAAAGGTAGGATCGAACAGATTTAATGCACATGTGGCAAAGGGTTTTCGTTTGTATACTGGAAAATGAAATGAGTGCCCAGCTTGTGCAGACAGATGGGACATGGTTGCTTAACGGATACATGCACAGGTGACATTTGGGTATGAGGACAAGCGGACTTGGATAGCAGAAAGTGGACAGATGGCGGTGCTGATACTCCAGTGGAATGTTCCAATAGCCTGCTGGCTGCTTTGACATTTCTTCCAAATACCGGTATATTGGCCGCAATGAATGCGACTATGTCCTATTTGCTGTACTTGTCGTTTTCCAAAGCCAACTTTAATCCATGCTCTAACCATAATTTCATACTGGACATACTGGCTCCAACAGCATGAGGCTCTAGCTAGGAGTAGCATGCTGGGGTTTTATGGATTTTCAAGTTGTGACTTCAACTTGTTCTTCAAGGTGTGCCCTAGCACCGAAATCCCCAAGGAAACTCATATTATTTTCCTAGCCTAGGCCAGCGAAACCCTGGTCTAGTATTCACCTTGGTTTTTAGGACGGGTCAGGCGACATGCCTTCTTAATTGTCACTGATGCATACAGCAGGTTACCAGAGGTCATCCGCTTGTCGAACACATCAACATCGGTCATGATCACAAACTTCACGGATTTAGTCCGTTCGGTTTTCCAGAAACATTAGTATCAGACAACGGTCGTCAGTTTAACTTTTCATTGCTGAATTTTGTTTGTTACGCGGCATGAAGTTCATGCTCTCACTTTATCACCCAAACTCATGTGGACAAGCTGAAGGGTTTGTGAACACTTTCAATAGAGCTCCGTTCAAAGCTGAGGAAGGCGGACTAATTCAAGAGCTCCTACAGACTTGTATGCTATCATTCAGGATTTTGCCTAATCCACAGGTGCCTGACGGAAAATTTTTAGCAGAATCGTTTCTAAGGGGAAAGGCTCGATCGAAGTTTGATCCTAATGAGACCGCTGGATAAACGCAACTCCGATAGAAATTGAGAAATGGAGCATCAGTATAATCGAAGACATCAAATTATCCCGCGACGTTTTGACATTGGACAGAAGGTGTTTGCAAAAGATTACCGGAACAGCAACATCTCTTTAACATCTGGATTGGTTATAAAAGGACATGGTCATTTCTGCTATAAAGTGGCCGCAGGCTATAACAGATGGTGGGTTCGCCCCAACAATCAACTCATTCGACAGAAGAGTAGATGTCTTAATCACGCCTCTTTGACGAGTTCAAACTTCCAACTACAGAGGCTGCTCAGCAACCTAAGCCGATTATCCCACCAACCTCTCCTGCACCTGATTGTCTGCCCTGAAGGTGGACGAATCGCTGCCGAGTCACTGTCACGCCGCTCCAGGTCACTCGCCGGCTCAAATCTTATAACAGTGGACTTCAAACTGGAAGAGAAGCGCCTCCTTATGAGTGGATCAGTAAACTCTAAACGGATCAAACCCAATCCATTTCCCAGAAATCAATCGGAGTACTCGCATTGGTTAATCAAAAGAATGTTCTCGCATAATCTAATACTACTATTGGCAAATAAATAATAGAACAGAGTATGTTCAAGTAGGTCACTACGAACAAATCACTTACGGTACTTTGCGCTGTGAACTTGTCTCAAGTCTGGTGGCAATCATACCGTACCTGTAACCTTGCCTTTCTGATTGGCTATTTGGGGTGGGGATGTTTCCCTCGAGAAGCCAATCAGAGCAACTCGGTATGACCTTGGCGACCATTACAATTTCACGAAACGGGCTACGATGGCTGGGCCAGATGTTGCGCATGCCAGCACACCGACTCCCGTGTTGTTTGTGCGACCGGGGTGTTAATGGAAGGAGAGGGGAGGAGGCCAACTGACGGCATTGTCCAAAGGAATGAAGGCCTTTAGTACGAAGTTTTTCCTCAGTTGTGTCCTCTGGGCCCCCTGTTACGGGCTCGAAAGACAATGAACACGTCTGGTTGTATTCAGTACACCATTTCCCGGTCAAGTTGTCCTCTTGGGCAACAGAAATAATCTGAGGGGACATTCAACATGAGTCTACTCAATTAATTTGTTCCGTGCGTAAGAGCTGAAGCGTCCCACCTGCACCCCTATGAATCAGTGCGTCTGAGGTCCATTTGGCTGAAGGCGACGGGCTATACACGCACACCTGCACAAGTGACTGGCGTACTCACGGAACAAATTAATTGAGTATACTCATGTTGAATGCCCCCTCAGATTATTTCTGTTGCCCAAGAGGACAACTTGGCCGGGAAATGGTATAGTTGATATGGCAAGGAGCGGACGTAATTGGTATTCGTGTTGAGTTCCTTTGCCCTTCCCCATGCGGCTTAGCCTCCCCCTCTAACCACTATTTTACTATTGATGCATAGTAATTAAAAATGCTAACTGTTTTTACTTTAATGGTGGATGTTTGTGAGAAGTGTAAAGTTCGTAGAAAGTAGAAGTCACGATTAATTTTCAATCTTTCATTTTTTCGAATTTCTTACCGCATTTTTTGCGGTGCACCATTTGTGTTATTTATTCTCTCACTGACTAATGTGTAGAATGATGATGGTGAATACTGCGGTTACGCAAAAAGCACCATGCATTAGTTGGACATAACTACTGGATATTGCAAGCGCTCTGCACTTAGTTAGTTTATACTTAAAGAATATCAACGATTGTAATAGACACTTGGATTAAGACGCTAGATCCGAAGGTGGAAAAACGCAGCCAACTGGATACGATACGAACTGTCTCTGCATTCCGTCGTCTAGGTGGCTGTGCTGCTATTATTCTCCTGTCACTGTCATGGTTCCTATGAGGTGTCCTCCAACTTTACGCTCTCCAAATAGTTAGGATATGCCACATTGTTGAATCATTGGATTCGTGCACAACAATGCAATCTGGTTAGTGTTCACAAAAGGCAACACACACTTTCTTTCTCCTGTTACGAGTTGCTCGTTCATTTGCAGTCCTTGCTTTGTGTTGAATCCTCAAAATCAGTGATCGTAACCAAGTAACGTGTATATTACGACTTTGAGCACATTTTCTAACAGATTATTCCATATTCTGTATCAGTTTTGCCTGTGTAGTTTATCTTTAATCATCCTGCGTTTCCTGATCCAGACCAACGTCCCCATATATGTGAACATTGCAATAAAGCGTTTTCTGAGAAAGGAAACCTACGAAGACATCTCAAGTCTGTTCATTCGAGTGAGTGTTTATACTCGATAATCACAAATATGTTTGATTTTATCATTAGCCTTGTGCTGTCTTTGAAGATATCTTGTGACTTCGGTGAGATCAGCCGTATTGCTAGTAACATTCTTGTTTCATGGTTTTCACTGTCCATACCCATCTTTTTTAGCAAAATATTTAACTTTCTAGATAACACAGCGTGATGTAAAACGAATGAATTGTTTACATCGATGAGGCTGCATATATTGGTTTGAAAAAAGTGGTTTATCTTTCATGTATGCTTTCGGCGACCGGATGGGGCAAAGTCCTTTCCAAATTTCATCATGCTTCCATTAGCATTTTCCCGATGCAGTCAGTTCACACAGCTGACAACACTTCCCAAAACATTTCGATGCTTCCCCCCTCTCACCACCTCGAGAATTGAGATTGCAAGCTCAATTGTGGCCTGTGCCATTTTCCAATCACTAGAACCGTATCTGAAGTGGAGGGTTTCGGTGTTGCTTTCTCCTGTTCCTGCACTCCACTTTGCCGGCCCATAAGCTTAAAGATCAAAAGCCTGTTTTGTAATCCAAGCGCGCCGGTTCGGGACTTCGTAGGGGACCAGGTGACTCTTTTAGTGTCCTTAGCCCACATGCGACTACTGGTGGCTGCACCGCAGCGAAGCGTCGTTACTGCGTACCGACGTACTGCAGATGCCATCAGCACCACCAACACCCTTAACAATTGCTACTTTTCGAGTGTTAGTCTCGGTTTGACTATTTGGCTAATGAGGACAAACCAGCACGAAACCGGGAGTAGATGCCAGCAAACATTTAGCCATCTTAACATTCCTGGCTTAGCTCCCAATGAGTTCCGTGATGGAACTACACTTTCTTAGCCGGATATTGTCACGAAGACTCTGTGCCCAACTTTGCTCTCTCTCTCCGCTTAGAGGTTTACGATGCGTCGGTTTGAGCGAATCTCTAAATTTAATTGAGGCTCTGCTAGTAAGTTATTTGCTATTACGCAATGTAGTTGCCACCACGATTGGTGGGTACAATCGAGTTGTCCACCTCGTAGAACCAGTCGGCACTTCAGCTGACAGCCCCAACCAGTTTGCGGTTACCTATTGTGCGTTTGTGAACTCAGTGCTTTGCGGTAAACGATTGATGGGAGATAGGCGATGCTCAGATTTTCATGGGGCGACCATTTGAGGAGGGGTATATGTGCACGCGTTATAATGTGTCAAACTGCACAGGTTAACTAATTACCAATCTTGACTTCCATTTGATGGGTTATTATGGATTTTCTACAGTACAGTCGCTCACGTGTCTCGTGAAACCAACTATATTCATTATTCTCATTAATACTTTACGCTGATGAATAAGTTTGAGACGTGCAGATGCCGTGTTAAATCTCTACTCATTGTTCATTATCAGCTGATTATTTGACCATGAAACCTATGCCTGAGTATGTTTTGACTGTTGCACCACATTTGATTTTCTATTTGTGACTGATCACCTATTATGTCTCTGCGGGTTCGATCCGAATAGCCTTATACGGTTTGCATCTTGACTGTCCATAAAAGAACGCAGATGTGAACACTGCCGAACATGGGATGTTGACGAAATCAACACAAGAGCGGGCAAAAGTTGGCAGTTATAAGCACGTTTAGCTACAAGGCGAGGGGGAAACCGCGATGGTGTCACTGTTTTCGGGTATACATCACAAGACTAATGTTCGGGTACCACAGAAACACAAAAGGGCAGATGATGGAAGCTCACTTAGCCATCGTAGTCAATTGTGCAACGCAATTTGTTCCACTTTCCTGTGCACGACCACCGTCATCGGACAAGTTCCTGTTCACGAACACTTTGTCAGTCCGAGTTAGGTTTAATCTAACCCTAACCTAACCTCTTGCTTTCTCTTCTAGAACAGCCATTTTACACCTGTGAACTCTGTGCGAAATCTTTTCCCCGAAGAATGGGTCTCCAAATACACATGGCCTCCATGCACTCTAGTAAGTACATCGCTTGACTTGTTTTATTTGCAGCCTAACCATAATTTGTCCAATCTTGCATTTGAATTGTTTTCAATTTTGAGCATACCTGTAGCTCTGGGTGTAGATGATAGGGTTGTCCTGTTCTCCGAGCTGTCTATTTCTGTTGTAGTCCTTTCCTTGTTCAGCTAGGCAATATCCTACGCGCTGCTATCACCGTCAGATCCGAGTGACTATTGATCGTTTCCTGCCTTGAATTTCATCGTTCGACTAGCTCACGTACGTCAACCGAGTGATCACATCTTCTATCTATTGATCTGATGCTTGTTCTTGACCCAACATTCAGAGCTTCGTAGTCATCCTCCAGCTCCAGGTGCTTGTCGATTGAGTTCTGGCCGAACGCCAGGCCTCGATGAAATCATGCGCCCTGTAGTTCCTTGCCCTTCCAAGTATCTCAACGTTCTTCAGGTGGGATTGGGGATCGTTGGCACCTATATGTACCGACATTAGCAATTTATCCTCATGATGGCGAATGACTTACTTTTCTTCTTATTTGGCCCACATCGTATTTGTCACAACTTTTGCATTAAATTTTGTAAATCACTCCCTAAACTTACCTCTTTACTTAGTTGGTCTTACACCCTGAAAAGTTTCCGTTGCTGGCCTGCCGAACAACCTCCTCATGGTGCCAGCTGGCTGGTTGAGGATTATCTCGGTCCAGCGAACGGTCCGGCGTCAGTGTTCCAGCACGTGGTGAGTTTTCGCGTGCTAAACCTTCTTATAAAAAGTCACGTGTCCCTTTAACGACACTGCGATGTTGCGGATGTGACTCGCCAGTAAATAAAGTCACTGTCCCTTGTTTCACTTTGGTGAATCATTGCATCTCAGCACCTTGCTGCTGAAACCGTGGAGAAGATTGGGCCCCTGTTTGACTGCTCATCAAACAAAAGGTATGAACTGAGCAATCAGTCATCGGCTCCCAATGAGTGCAAATCCCTGACTTCACTCTGCTGCCTTGCTGGTAGGCTGTTGAGCCAAAGGCTCGGGATGGAGTCCCCTAAGCCAACTCCCTAATTCAGCTTGGACAACCTGGTGCTATCGTGCCCTCTGTGAAAACCATGGATTTCACAATTACTACTACATTGCTTACTTATGCTGCTACTTTCCATGCAACTCGTGCTTCTCCATCACACGCCAACTGTTCTCTTGTTGTCAATCCACAGCCTGTTGCATCTACTTCCAATGCTCTTCTCCCTGATGTCGAAATCGTCCGGTCATCATCTATACTTCTACCCCGTTCTTCATTCCGTCTGACAGTGTTCAACGTTTGGACTCTCCTACAGATTGGACAACAAGATAGCATGGCGCGCCCTCTAGATTCCCTCGTCATCTGTGTTTGTTGCCTTTTAGAGACTCGATTACAGGATCCCTGGACCGTGGTTAGGTTGTCCCCATCTTCACTTGAAACCACATATTACCTACGTATGTCTAGTGATATGGAGGCAGCAGCAGCTGGCTTAGCTGGTGTCAGTATCGCAATGAGTGACAAAGCGGAGGCTGCATTACTCGACTGGTTTCCAATCGACAGCCGGCTGTGTGCAGGTCTGCTTCAAGGCTTACGTAGAATCAACAGACACCGTGAAGAGAGGCACAATTTGCTTGTCGTTTCTGTCTACGCTCCAACCGACTGCAGCTGTGCATCGGTTAAGGATGACTTTTATCATCGACTCCACAACCTTTTGAACAAGGCAGAAAAGTCAGATGACATCGTGCTTACCGGAGATCTCAATGCACTAGTGGGTCGCCTGCTTCCTTGCGAACGTCATTTTCGTGTCAGTCACGCGCTTGATGAAAGCCGTGCTGACAGCGGTGATAGCCTTCTTACGTTATGCGAAGACCACCGTCTGTTCCTCGCAAGTACGAACTTTAGGCATACCAGAAGACGCGCAGCCACCTGGCGCCCTCTTTCACCAATGCTAGCGTGGTCACAATTAGATCACATTGCAATCAGCTTTAGATGGCGAGGCAGCGCCCGGGGTTGTAAACCGATTTGGTCTACCTACATCCATTCAGACCATGCTTTGGTCTGCGCGGATATCTGCATATGCTTCGACGGCTCCTCAAAACGAAGCTCCACACGCTGGACACCAGCAGGTTAGCTGACCTCTACTCGATCAACTTATCAAGCTTCCTTATCGCATGCATTCATTACTGCTCCACCTCGTGTTATCGAAAATCAATGGAGTTTCCTGCGTAAAGCGATGCTGAATTCCAGTCATTCAATCTGCGGAATCACAAGGCGCCCTCTGGGGGGCTGGATTTCCGGACACTCACTTGAATTGTTTGATCGTCATAGAGCTATCCCGACTGATTCAAGTAACGGTACATTGCATCACATTTTCAACCAACAACTTAAGCAAAGCCTGCATGCTGATCGCGAAATGTGGTGCTCCCAGCGCGTTTCAGCCCTCTCTGGAAACTTTTTCAAGCTCTTCTAGGCCTTACGGATCAGTGGGCACAAAAGATCTGGTGTCAGTGAGGTCATTTGCGAGGTTGACGGAACGCCGCTAAGCAACCGAAACAGGCGTATGGACCGCTGGACTGAACACTCCCGCACTCAATTCATTCGGCCTCCTCCGCCGGAGAGCCTAGTGAGTATACCTAATTGCGCGCCTTGGAACGTCTCATTGAAACCATCCACTGAAGCTGAGGTCTGCCTTGAGCTCCGACATTTGAAGCGATTCAAGTCTGCTGAGCCAGACGGACTTCCTCCAGAGCTGTTCAAGTTCGGGGGGCGTAGTAATTGTCAACCAGCTAACAGCTCTGTTCTCTATGATTTGGTGTGGAAAAGCAGTTCCATCCGCTTGAGGCGAGTCAATTATCGTGCCGATCTTCAAGAAAGGTTTTGGTACCCTATGTGCTTACCAGCGAGGAACCAGTCTAATGTCCGTTGCCTCCAAGTTGTTAACATTCATTCCACTTCGCAGGCCCAGATCTTTTGAAGAATTGCGCTTCCGTGAGAAACAGGCTGGTTTCCGCCCCGGTAGAGAGTGTATAGACCACTTGTTTACGCTCTGCGGACTCCTTGAAACGCGTCATCTTTACCGCCAGCGCATTCTCGGACACCCGGGCCGTTTTCGACTTTGTCGGTAGGCCAGCTTTATGGTGTTGCTTACAAAAGAATGGAGTGCCCAAAAGTATATCGCCATCCTTCGAGCATTTTATTGCAATATCTCAGGTAAAGTGAAGACTTATGCTAAGCTCTCTTCACCTTTTTACTATCACTAGCGGTGTACGACCGGGTTGCTCCACGTCCCCGTTTATCTTCAATTTTGCGATCCAGGATGCCTTTTAAACGCTGTCGAGGGCTTTCAAGATTCTGGTGTAGAGCTTCTTCCTGGCAACCGCGTGACCAATTTAAATTATGCTGATGATATTGTCTTGCTTGATGATGACACACAGAGAACACAGGCCGTTCCAAACCGCTTGGCGATTGAAGCATCAAAATATAACATGACCTTTGCCTCCACGAAATGCAAGGTCCTGGTCCTGGATTGGCATCCACCTGCTCCAGTGCTCACTCTTCAAGGTACGCAGCTTTAACAAGTGGACAACTTTGTTTACCTGGGAATCTGTGTTTCTGCTGATGGTAGCGTCGGAAAAGAGATTTCCCTCTGCATTGCCAAAGCCCGTTCGACATTCGCCAACTTGAAGCATCTGTGGCGACGCCGTGACGTTTCACTATTGATAAAGTGCAGTGTAGTGTCTACAATGCCTGTGTTCGCGCAGTGCTGCTGTGTCCAAGTTAGTCCTGGCCGATTCATGTAAATGACTTGTGTCGGATGTCTGCGGACAATAGCTCGAGTGTGGTGGAAGAAACACACTTGCGCAACGATTATGTTAGACATGTCCTCTTGGGTAACACGCGACTTCCACTTGACAGACTGCTACCGCTACGCCAATTGAGATGGCTGGGCCATGTTTTACTCATTCCAAGCGAACGGCTGACCCGACGCACTCTCTGCTCGCACACAGTGTCAGGCTGGAAGAAATCGCGCGGGGGTCAGCCCATCTTCTGGGGACAAACGACTAAAGCTCTGACTTCTAGTTTAGCTGTCGTACGTCCCGTGCGTCTCCTTGGCTGGGGGATCAAAGATGAAGAATACCGCTGGCTGGAAACTCCTTCGGTGATGGCGCAGAACCTGGCCAAATGGAAAATGTGTACAAATGTTTGTTTCGATTTTCTTGGTTTACCTCGCAAACATTAAAGAGATAAAAAAGTAAAACGGCCTGTGAAAACAGATAGGATCCAAAAAAAAACAATTTTGTAGGTTTCCTTTTTTTCTTTGTGGTCTCTGTATTCATAACTTCCGTTTCATGGGTTTCGCTGGCTCACTCTTTCTCTCTCTCTCTCTCTCCATAAATATATATATATATATACATATATATATACACATATATATATATATATTACATAATGTAACTTCAGCCCATCTGAAGCCGATATTGCAAAGTGCCGAAAATGTGCCCATCTGGACACAAAGCTTATTTTGACTTTGAGTAAGCGAATTGGTCGACCCTAAGAATGTGCTCAGAATAGCTAAAATTCGTTGGCAATTAGGGAACAAAAAAGGGCGTTCAGGAAGGTCAATTGGAGCACATAAATAATGCCAGTCTGTGCATTGTAATTTGCAGCAGCAGCCAATCGAAACGGCCGGGTTCAAAATAACCCATTAAAGCAGCACGGCGTGACCTTGTAAATCGAAACGAATTGGAGGAAACAAACTACTGCGGCCCGTGAGAGCAGGCTGGGTTGCTTACTGGATCAAGCGACCCCCATTAAATGGCTGAATATTGTGAGGAGAAGCGGTACGAAGAATCATCCATGAGAGCAATGACGAAAGCATCTATTCCGGACTACGAAACGTTCATTATGATCACCTGGTTAATATAGCTGCTAGCCACGCCTAGCATGCACTTCTAAACATATACTGAAGAATTGGCAGTGTGGAACGAATCTACCTGGGTTTGAGAATGAAGACAGGTATCACGTTAATAGCTATCTCATAAGAGACTGATGCCAACGACACATTCACTGAGCGGAAAGAAAATAAATATCGAAAACAAGATGGAAATGCCACTGTGATAGTCGTGAGGTCAGATGTAGAAACTGCGTCCGGATATCTATAATCGTCGAATTAGACTGAAGCAGCATGTAAAGATGCATGGTATAATGGTGTAATAATAACTGATTGTTTAGGTGAACGTACACTACACCGCGCAGGTAGACAGCAGGTCGACTACTCGCCACCGACGCGAGGAGCTGAGCATGATTACACAAGCCGGAGGGACAAAGTAGTATTGAGTCAGTGAAGCTGGGTTGCCTAGGGCGAATCGGTCGGAGAAACTGAGTGAACACTGCTTACACATTAACGGATCCAGATTGATTTTAAAACGCCGGATGAGGTGACGGACGGTCCCTGCAGGGGACGAAGGTGAAGCGTAAATAGCGAACAGTCAGTGAAACAAGGGCTGCTCACGTTGAATGACTGTGCGAAAGGTGTAATCTACAGAACAGTTGAGACATACTAAGACAATACAGCCGACAACGTGATGCCTGCCGTGGTCATCAAAGTAACCATTTCAAACGGACCGCAACACACTGTAGCACGCTGTCACTGAGGAAGGCAAATGGGGAACACCTGTTTAACATGTTTTAGAAATTCGCTCCATGGAACTTGCAGTTAAAGCTACCCGATGTCGAGGGAAGAAACACAGCAAAAAGAAAAACGATCGTCCTACCCTATACATCCATGGCAGAGAGGCTGTGAATGCTTCACGGGATAAATGTAGCACATAAAGCAACGGATTATTTCGGAAACCTGTGCTTTTGTGAAACCATGCACATACAGTGCCAAAAGAAGACATCGTGTGCCCGGATATAATGACACCAATACAAATACCTAACCGAACAAAAATAAACGATTAACGGACCAGACACAACTGCTGATGATTCACAACTAAATGTTTTTGATTTTTCGTAATTCGATAGAGTTGTACGGAAACCTTTCTACTTGCCCTTAAATACAATCTCAGTCTCAGTGATACCTTTCTTGATTCTCAAACCCAGGTAGATTCGTTCCACACTGCCTTTTTCTTCAAAGTCAAAGTCAAAATAAGCTTTGTGTCCAGATGGGCACATTTTCGGCACTTTGCAATATCGGCTTCACATGAGCTAAAGTTGCATTATGAAATCTGCTAATTTTGTGAATGGAAAAAGAACACTCTGGCCAGGTGTCATTTGAATAAGCGATCAGTATCAACGATCCACAATTAAGGATTTCTGGACAGGATTATCTAAGGCTACATTCTGTTAAGGGGCCAGCATTGTAAGCTAGATTTTCAATCGACGCGGTCCATCTGCAAGTGCGCAGAATCTTGTGTTTTTCTTAAAAGGAAGACGAAGGGCAGCAGTGTTTTTCTTGAAAATAGTTTGACAAGGGTCAATGTTGAAATACTCAGTGAAAACTAAAGTATCCATAGCGATATTGTATAAATTATGTTCATGGAAATTGGCAACAGCCGTTTTAATGGCTGTGCCCATGTGTTCATTTCCATCGGTATTGGGTTCACTGATGCATTTGTTGTGAGCTCTTCTTGCGAGTGTCATGCTCATTAATATTGCTCATATTAGACTACCAAAGGAGCTAATATCCGTGCACGGCGCTGCAATGCTGGGCCGGATGGACAGCACGGATGAGTCTTTGATTGGTCACGCGAGAAACTGGTGAAACCCTGTACTCCCGACTAGGCTTCATCATTGTCATTGCACACGGTATCTATTGTGCCGCACTATATAAGGAAATGAGACAAAATTACCTGCAAACGAGGCTCGCCGGCTGAGCCGCCAGTAACGGATGTGCAACCTCCCGGAAAGCTACCAGCCGGTATTGTGCTGCAACAATTTATATTATGCAAATTTTCTAATATGCTAGGAAATGAGATTCTGCTTGAAGGAGGAGGCTAAGCGGGTGGAGGGGGGGGGGCAAAGTAACTCACACCACACGCCTCTGTGATCGGCTCCTAACCATATCAACAAATGTATCCTGTTAAACGTAATCATCGTCTTTCGGACCCCAAGCAGGAGCAGAGACGTTCCAACCGAGACCACCTTCGAAGTAAGGGCCTTCATTTCTCTTGACAAAGTGATCGCTTGGCCAACTCTCCTCTTCTTTCATCCGCACCCCCGGCGAGAAAACAACACATGTCGGTGGAGTCATTGGGTTGGCATACGTGGCCGAACTATCGGAGCCTGGTGGGTGAAATAACTTTAATGACCAGTTTATTTCCTCTACCTGTGCCATAAAGAAGCCGTCATACATTTTCATTGCTCGCTTGGTGTTTCCACCAGATATGAGGCAAACTACGACGGCACCGGCGGTGGAACTTAACTAGCCTCTTTATGTCTGATGAGCTCGAACGTACGGCTGTATTATACACTCTACTCTTCAGGGGAAGAATAATGTCACGCCGGTGCCATAAGAGGCGCAGGTTAGCAAAAGCGGCTGGGCGTACGAGCAGCTGATCAAATATGACACATACTGGAGTAATCCCGTGTGCATCGACACTGCGGACGGGCCTTTGTTTGGATAACCAAATACGGTGCGCCGTATCAAATCAGCCGGGCACTATGCCTTCACAACGGATGAGGCCCAATCACTGATGATTGGAGGAAACCAGTACCAGTATTTGACAGAATGTCTGGCCCGTTAATACAGTCATTATTTAATACAGAACCTACACTGTCAGTTGAGTCTTGCCTTTTGATTGATTTGTCCTTTGGAATTGGAGCATCAAGTAGAGGTGGTTGAAGGCTGGTAGTACAACCAATGAAGTGGTTACATTTGTACTCACTGTTTCTCACCGTTGCATGTTTTGTACGGGCAAGTACTGGTAAATATTGTACACTCGCACCTGTCTAAGGCGACCACTCAGTGGACCAACAAAAATTGCTTGCTTTGGACTGGTGGTCACAATAGGCAAGTTCATACATTGGGTGATAACTAAGAGAAAAACTCGGGAATGTTTTTGGCTGGTCGAGATTGCAGGTTGGACTGTAATTTTCCGCGCTTCACCCTTTGTCGCTGTAGTTTGCACTGTTATATCACACGTAACCACAGTATTTCATCCATCCGCGCATGGTCGGCGGAGCTTTGACACAGTGCTGTTCCCGTCACCCTAGCCATGGTGCAGCGATTAAAACTTTGAAGTTGATAGAGGAACACTTTTCACGGAAACCTGTCATGTGTCAACGCAAACTGCGCAAACTCCATGTGACCTCTCCTAAGCAATGCTATGCTGTCTCTGTCGTCTCAAGCCACGCTGGTCTTAACTGAGTTGTCCTCAGGACACTGCCAGTGCCATTTCCTCTATAGTTTATTACACTGCTATACCACAGCTATAAATACGAATATGTAAAATATATGTTTTGCCCTTGACTGAGTCAGTAAATATATTCTTGCCATCAGGCATTTTTTCTTTTCTGTGTCCCAGTGCAGTCGTATGAGGTTACGCGTTTCGTGGACGACGCATTTGTTGGGATTTAAGTATTTATTTGTCGCCGTGTCGCCCGACCATGTGCATGCCGAAACGGTGTTTGACTGTTATCACCTCCATCAATCATTTGTAGGCGTGGACGCAAAGCACTCTCCATTTCTGCCCACAGCGCCTTCACTGCCTACTCTCGAAACACACTCGCTGTTTAAGTGGAATTCCATCGGTTTTCGCTGGTTGCTATCTACATTTCTCTCAGGTAGCCCATTTCTGAAGCAGTGGGTTTTACCATGCGCTTTCTGCACCTGTCACCGATCATTTTGATTTTCTTCTCTATTTCTTCACTGGCGATTTCCGCAGATTTGACACCACCTTTCTACCAAATCTCCAGCTACGTAATATCGTAAATTTCCTCACCAGAATCGATACAACCCTGTATCTGGTTTCCGGTACTGATTCGGCGTTTTCTCTGTGCTATCGTACGCCAGTTGGTAGCTCTAGTCATCTGTGGGTTAAGTTAGCTGTTGTCTACAGTGAGTCTACATGTCGTGAAGATGGCATGCTCAAATGGACCAAATATCCTCTTCGAAATATCGGGAATGGTTCACGCTAAACAACTTCAAAGCACCCAATCACTTTGCTTGACATCTTTCGCTTTATGTTACTTTTAACGCACTCTGTTGGGATCAAATGGTTTGAAAGTGCTTCGCATCCATCAGCACCTTTGGGTTTTTCTCTGCCTGTACTCTTTCACAATGCCGTTGTTTACATTACTGTGTTTGTTATTGGCAGAGGGTCGGGTCCACCGATGCGAACATTGCAACAAGTGCTTTACTGATAGAAGCAACCTGCTGACGCATGTTAGCGCAGTGCATTTTAGTAAGTCTTGTGCTCTCACTGTTTCTGCATGTGTTTTGCTTCATTTCATACACATACTGCTACCTGATTCTGCGTGCTGATTTCCGTGCACCCTTGTTATTGACTCTTAGGAACCGAATTCGCTATTCAGTGCGAATTGAAGACATCATCCACGCAATCTTGCAACACTGCGATTGGTTCGTGAAGGTGTTGCTGGTGCACGAATTCTGCGTCATCGTAGGGCGCAAGTGGGAATTACTTAAGTATTTCAAAGTAATCCCGCACGTTTAAAAATAAACGTTTTCTAACCTCCAGCTACTGACCAACTTGGTGTGATTAGCTCTCAAAGGTGTACAATGCATCACACAACATTTTGTGGCCTAGTCTCCTTGCTGCTGCTCAAATGTGTTCCTCGCCACCAAGACCTTCGGGGACTGCTCGTTGTTTACACCCATAGTAAATCGCCCTCACAGTTCTGCGCTGCTTGCTTTCCTCTTGCGGTGGTACATTTGTATTTGCTCAATTTCTGTTCCCCCTCCACCCCAATTCAGATCAGCGCCCTCATAAATGTGAGCACTGTGCGAAATCCTTTTCTCACACAAGTCATCTCAAATTGCACGTCCAAGCTGTTCATTTGGGTGAGTGCGTTCGATTTTTTTATCCAGCTAGTTTGCTGCAAGCCAATTAACCTCTTATGCCGCTTAGTTCTTCGTGTTCTGGCTTCTGGTGGAAAGGCTGTTAGCGTTGCGTGAGCAACGAGCGTGTTCGACGCCTTGTTTATGGCACAGGAAAAGGAACTGAACCGCTCAGCACCGTCATTTCACGCACCGGGCTCCGATGGCTCAGCCACGTGTTATGCATGTCAGCCCACCGACTTCAGCGACGTGCGTTGCTTGCGCGCCGGGGGTGTGGATGGAAGGAGAGGAGGGGTGGCCAAGCGATGACTTGGTCCAGAGGAATGAAGACCCTCACTTCTGAGCTGGCCTCGGTTGGAACGTCTCGGCTCCCTGGTTGGGGTCCGAAAGACGATGAACACGTTTGGTTGGACACACTTGCTGATATGGCTAGGAGCCGACCTCAGTGGCGTTCGTGCTGTGAGTTTCTTTGTCCCACCCCATCCCTCTTAGCCTCCCCCTCCAACTACGACCTCATTATTTTTTTGATGCACAGTAGCCGGTTGGTAGCTTACCAGAACGATGCCCATCCGTTACCGGTAGCTCAGCCGGCTTACATCAGTTGCATTTTTTCTTTTTTCTATGCATTGCGGCACAGTAGCTGAGGTGTTCCCCAACTCTAGCTAACGTGTATGATGATGTTAGCGCTCCTATCGGAATTGAGAGACGCCACCGGTATTAATGAGGCGAAATTGAAAAACGGTATTTAAACAATTTTTAACTCACGCCTACAGTGATCGTTTTAACCGCCTTTCCGTCCTCCAGCATTGGTTTCACCCGAATCCCTCAGTACCACACGGGATGGGACACTAGAATAGGCCGCTCTTTTCTGCCATATGCATTAGGAGGTGAACGGAGGCATAATTCGACACCGGTTTCCTCTATAAACTAAGCTGGATTGTACACTACCTCCACATTTTCTAGCCTGCACTACAGTTGCATATAAATGCGATTGTGTGACCTGCGTCGCTAAAAACTGAAGCAAAGTTCCTGCATAGGTCTCTACCATTAAAGTTCATCCTGAATCACGATAGTTCACTTAAGGTGAAACTGCCAACGTGCGTGATAAAGAAAAATGGTGTGTATTTGTCGCAGGTGACTTTGGGCACCTGATCAAGCCTGTTCTAATGCAAAGTTAAGCGATCACCCAGTTGCGACTCCAATCACACCATACGAGAGCCAATCTCTCACAACCGCTCGAATGATCTGCCAGTCACTTTGGCCTCTCCTGTCACCTAACAGAGCATCTGCAATTGCAGTGGTCTGCTAGCTCAAGGTGTGATTGTGTACACTCCGCAACCTGGTTACAACGTATGATGACGCTACGAGTTGGAATGGACCACGTGGCAAAAGTGAACGTGGTCTCGTCTGTCACAAAGCACCTCATGACAGCCCATCGTTGCGCGGACTTTTCGAGCGCAGTCAAAATATTCCTATGCAACAGGAATCCAAGAAGATGGATCATACGCGAAGCGTCACTAAGCACGAAGAATTGTTCAACGTCGTACGCTCATTGCGATTGGTTAGATTTCCTTAGTACTTGCAATCTGTCCACACCTTCTTGTTTCACCTAGGTAGGTCAGTTTATATCTTATTAATGTGGTTAATATGCCATCTTTTAATCGCGACCACCGTACTTTGCGCACCTCGCATAGCGAGAATATGTAACAAAATGTGCATAGTGATCTTTTTAATCACACTATGATTCCCCGGGGATCAGCTCGCGTCGAGTATGCTTCCGTTTAGTACCAGCACTATGAAGCCATTGATCGGTCCACATCAGTATCTTCACTCTAACATACGAGCTTCTTTACTATGAAGGCGTCGATATTTTACTCAGCGCATAGCTGCCGGAGTTGCTGTGTCATTGGAAGCCCCAAAGCTTGATATTTCTCCCTGTTTGCCTATGTGGAGGGCTTGTAGAATCGCTTGGTCGCGTTGTTTTTTGACGATAACTAGATACCAAGCCTAAATCATGCGCTCGGCGTGAACCGCTGCTAAACTCTAATCTACCCCACTATACCCGTTCGGCAGTTCACGGGGTTTTTCCGTGATTTTCTCTGTCGTTTCTACCGCTGTCTCTAGTGAGTTGTTCTCTGTCCTTGGGAAATCACCTGCACCACCTCACGGCTGGCGTATGGCTCAGAATTTCATCCGGGTCATGCTAGCTGAAAACATACCCGTCATGGCTGCATAAAACCGCACCTTTGATTCGAAGTAGTTTTAGGACACGGTTGGATTTCCGTGACGACGTCATTTGTGGTATCGTTCCCAACATCCAAATACTTGTATTTTAGGTACTTACCACATAGATATTTCTAGAATCCAGCACTAGCAGACATGCTGGCCAAAGCTTGTTCGCTAACTTGCGCAATACTTCTCTGGTTGGTTAGGGTAGACTCCTTAAGGAGATTGCACTCTGTTTAGACACCCACCAGACATCCGGTCGCAGTAAGGTTGCTTTGATTCTACGCAGGGGCCTTCGTCTTTCCTGTCACAGTAAGCTAAATCATGTGGGCATTCTGTTTCACCAGCTTGGTGAAGCGCCGATTCCTTCTCATCAGGCGACACAAGTTGGACTCTTGTACATTACAATGGCTGTACGAGATGCAGTTCATTGGTTGTTTACAGAACAGTTTCTACGTTATTGTCGCTTATCCTGTGGGATGATTTCATCAAAGCTTTATGCCTCGATTGCGTTGTCGCAGGAGTATGCTACATATTATTCATCTTTCTTAACCTTTCTTGACTGAACCTATATATATATATATATATATATATGTATGTATGTATGTATGGCGACCGCCAGGTGGGAGTTGGGTTACGCCCTTCCCCCTGCTAAGATCCAGGACACCAATCCGCATGAGTCAGTGAACTGACCATGTGCTAGACCCGCTGCCTTTCGGGTGTACATTTAATCGAAGGCTTTCGCTGAGGACCTGAGTCGTTCTCCTGTCAGGTGTGGGCGCCTTGCCAGTATCCTAGTCCATCTTTCTCGGAGGTTAGGAAGTCGTTGATGACCCTCTTCCCGTAAAACCTAGCCATGGGAGACAACAGGTCTACGGGTTATAAGCTCACAGCTCGTTTGGCCTAGACTACGAACGCCACACATTGTCTCTGACGGTGGGAGGACACCTCCGGGTGTTCAGTGGTTTGCTACTGCCCGTCTCAAGCCAGGCAGCCCCTAGTCAAATTGGTGCAAACCCGCCAAAACTGACCTGCGTCTGGCCGTGGTCGCAGGTATGTATCCAATTACGGTCGCAAAACATATACATCGTTCCAGTACCTCCAAGGCTGCGTGTGACGGCCATCAAGCAGATCCCAATCTGCCCTGCAATCACATTCCCGAACTGATCTGCTCCCCACTGCCTTGTGGGTCAGGCTATTGAGCCAAAGGCTCTGGGTGGAGTCCCTCAAGCAAACCTCCTAAGTACAACGACCACCTCGCGTGCGATTGCTCACCAATGCAATCGTATGCCTGCGAGCAAAGCACTCAGCATCAGGTGCTGGAACGTATGCACACTACTGGACAGGAACTCGAGTGAGCGCCCCTAGGGACGCACTGCACTGGTCGCGATGGAACTGACGCGTTACCACATCGATATTGCGGCGTTCAGTGAAACGGCTCTCTGAGCAAGGTAAGTTGCATGAAGCGGATGCTGGCTACACATTCTACTGGGTGGCCACCGCCGCTTCAGCACCACGTGAACATGGGGTCGGATTTGCAATATCCGATCGCCTCCATGGCCAGGCATCAGCGCGCGACTGATGACTGTTCGCCTACGACTCGGAAGAGGTAAGTTTGCTACTTTTATAAGCACGTACGTTTCGACCGTGTGTAATGCTGATGACACGCGTGATCAATTCTACACTGAGCTATACTCCGTGATACGGTCTGTGCCGAGGAGCGACCGACTATTTCTGCTGGGTGACTTCAATGCGCGCGTTGGACATGATGCATCGGTGTGGACAGATGTCATCGGTTCGCATGGCATTGGTTCAGCGAATGCGAACGGTGACAGGCTGCTTTCACTGTGTGCCACTCTCGGCATGACGATCACGAACACTCGGTTTACACTGAGTGCGAGTGATATAGCAAGTTGGATGCATCCACGGAGTGGTCACGCTCACTTGTCATCGTACGTCAGCGTGAAATGCGTGAAGTGCGCATGACACGTGTACTGCGTGGATCTGAGTGTGGCACTGATCACAAATTGGTGCGGACCAAACTGTACATATATTTTCAAAATCTCTGTGTTGCACTCGCGCTGTGAATCGGCGTAAATCTAACATCCTCTCCATCGGTACTGTGGCGAAACGTACTGAGCTGGAGAAGGCGATGGTTGCACGCTTGTGTGATGTGGACTGCATAGCCACAGTGGGCGACCTGTGGCACCACATTTGCGACCATATGACAGCTGCTACCGAGGAGACCATCGGGCGCGCAAACTGTAAGCGGCCTAATTGGTTTCATGAGAACAATGTGAAGATTGGCGCGTTGGTGTCGGAGAAGAATGCAGCATTTGCTGCACATGTCGCAGACCCCAGTGACCTGAGGAAGAGTAGTCAGTTTCGCAAACTTCGACGGCGACTGACCCAAGAGCTCCGTCGCATCAAAAATGCAAGTTGGACGGAGAAGGCGAAGCAGATGGAATGCTACGCCGAACGCCGCCAACACAAGGAATTCTTTGACTTCTTGAAGGCGGTGTATGGACCGATGTTGGATCCGCTAGGAATACTGATCGCTGATAGTTCAGGCGCTACCTGCACACAGACTGCAGACATAATGCAGATCTGGCGGAAACACTTTGACTGTCTGTTGCACAAACGTTCGGAGATGTACTGGCGCTCATTAATCGGCCGCAAGCAGCCCGATTTGAGGACCAGTCTGGCGGACGTGCCGACACTGGATGAGACGCAAAGTGCACTTGTTCAGCTGCGAAACGGCAAGTTTGCTGGGGCCACGGGATCTCTCCTGAAGTATTGAAACAAGGCGGTCCCGCGTTGGTGACTGTGCTGTACCACTTAGTGTAACGCGTATGGATTGAGGAGGAGGTGCCTGCTGAGCTGAAGGATGCCCTTGTGCTATCACTGTACAAGGGCAAAGGGAGCAAGTAATGTTGCACGAATTATCGTGGCATCAACTTGCTGAGTTGTGTGGGCAAGGTGATTGCCCGAATCCTGCTCAACCGCCTCGTCAGTCAGGTTGTGGAAGCTAACGTGGCGGGAGAGCAGTGTGGATTCCGTTCGGATCGCAACACTGTAGATAAGATGTTTGATGCTCGTCAGTTGCAGGAGAAGTGCAGAGAACGACACCAGCCATTGTACTCGCTTTTTGTTGATTTCAGCAAGACATTTGATACGGTGAACCGCGATGCATTGTGGCTGGTGTTGGGTAATTTTGCTTGCCCGCGTAGGTTTGTAAGCTTGATTGAATGTCTGCACAGTGGTATGCGAGCGAGGGTGCAGCTGAGTGGAGAGACCTCGGATGAGTTCACAGTTGTGAAGCAAGGCTGTGCCTTAGCTACTGCCTTGTTTAATATATATCTTCATGCAATGTTGTCTTGTGCTTTCGATGCGGCTTGTGCTTGCGGTGTTCGTGTGGAACACCGTATTGTTGGTGGGTTGCTGAACATCCGTCGTTTCGGTGCGAGAACTCTAGTCTGTGAGACAACTACCCGTATGTTGCAGTTTGCTGAAGACTGTGCGTTGTTTTCACACAGCGCGGATGATTTGCAGCACATGACTAGTGCTCTGGCTTTGACAGCGGCCAAATTCGGGTTCACTGTCAACGCAAGCAAAACTTTCTGTCTCTTTTAGCCTTCACCGGAGGTGCAATCCTCAATATTGCCGTGAATCAGCATTGGTGCCGAAGTATTGGAAACCACCACCCGCTTCTGCTACCTTGTGAGTGTGATGTCGACTGATCAGCAGCAACACAGTGAGCTGCGTATCCGTGTGTCGAAGGCAGCGGCGGCTTTTGGGAAGTTTGACTACCGAGTGTGGAACAAACATCAGCTTACCATTGGCACGAAGCTTATGGTGTACAACTCCATGGTGCTGTCCGTTCGTTTATACGGCAGTGAAACGTAGACGATATACCGGCGGGATTTGCGATATCTCGAGCGGTTCCATCAGCAGTCTTTGCTGCAGATTTTGCGCGTCGGTTTGGGCGACAGAGTTGCCGACACGGAAGTTTTGCGCCGAAGTGGAATGTATGCAGTGGACTGTATACTTTTGTTGAGACAGCTGATGTGGCTCGGTCATGTGAGCCGTATGGATTCGATGCGGATAGCGAAACAACTCTTGTGTGGTCAGCTGAGTATTGGGAAGCGGCATGTGAGCAAAACAAGGTTAGGTTACCAGGACATGGTCAAACTGAGCCTCTCACATTCTGATCTTGATTGCAGATCATGGGAATCGAAGGCGGTTGATCGGCGTGCATGGCATGAGCTAATCATGTAGGCGGTTGCGGAAGTGCGGTAAGGTGACCTCATGCATGCGGAGAAGAAGCGGCAAGTGCGGAAACGGCAAGCACCGATGGGTTGTTCTTCATCGACATCGAGCGCATGTTACTGTAGCACATGCGGTCGCGAGTGCCTGAGTCAGGCAGGTCTAGTGTGCAATGAGCGAGGCCACTCTGGACCACTACCGAAGCGACGACTGGTCCTGCAGAGAAGGTAGGCAGAACTAGCGCAGCGTTTGTAGGTACGCTGCATTCGATTTACAAACCGCGTGCTTGCATGCTAAGTCTATTTATATCAGGTGGTGGGTTTTCAATTTTGTCCTAATGCTTTTCTTTCCCAAATAATTGTCTCCCTGTACTATCTTCTATAAACTTGCGCACCTCACTTAAGCCAATTGTGATAAATTTCGAAAGCATTTTCGTGTTTGTGGCATTTCTGTAAAATATACTTTCTGACCTCGTTAACCTCTCTCGTATTCTTTTGTAAACAACTTATTTCATATGCTCATTAATTTAAGATTTATGTCACTGTTTCCTTATGCATTACTCGATTTATTTTCTTTGTTATCTTTCACTCGTGATTGGCTGTTTCTTGATATCCCCGGTGTGGCTGCGCTTGATGTGCATGTTGACTAGGTGCCTACCTGTCTATTACCCACTACATCTTCCATATTGGCTACCGGAGACAATTGGTGGTTGTTGGAGGGGACGGGGTACTCAGCCCTTTTGGGGCATGTCAGACTCGAAATGATTCCATGCAGTTAGCGTGTAGTGGTCTACGGTCCAGCCACTGCCTTGTGTGCGCTTGATTCCCAAATGCAGTGTGCTTGTGTTTGCCTATGAAGGAGTGTGGGCCGGTTACGTTGACGAAACGTGGCTCCCGTCCACATGCCTCCCGGTCTTATTCCTTCGGGTTTACACTGGATATAGGGTATGTGGGTGGTGCAGCGCAAGCCATCCATGGTCCCTCTGTAGGCGCAGGCGTCCTGTGACTGGGCACAGTGACAGGCAAATCGGAAACCGGATGCCACCAGCCATATATATATATATATATATATATATATATATATATATACAGTGAATTTTAGTGGATCGCCAAATTCGGTAATCATCACTTATATCTCCGTATACCATTACCTTTATGTACTTATTCTTGCTGATCATTTGTTTTTCTGCGCTTGTTCTCTCTGTACGTTCTATCTACAACATTATTCTTTTTGTCCCCCAAATCAGCTCAGCGCCCGCATACATGTCAGCATTGTGCCAAATCATTTGCTCACAGAGGTCACCTCCACGTGCACACCAAAGCTGTTCATTTAAGTGAGTGAAATGCCCTTGGAGGCTTAGTTTAATTTTGTTTTTTATTACTTCAGTTGTAGCATTACTGATCAGTTATATCATGTGGCCTCGGTGTCATCAATCAATTTAGATATACATTGCACCGCAGATTGTTCTTTTTTCCCAAATCAGGTGGTTCGATTTAAAATGAATGTGCCTCCCCTATCATCTGATTTATGAGGGAACGGTTGTAGGTCAGTAGGTACCTGAATGTATTCAATCTTGTTGCATCCTCCCTTAGCTGAGGTTCTCAATTATCATTGTTATTCAAATTAACTGAGCAGTTATTTGATACTGTGATAGATCGTTGGTGTTTGCAGCGCAAATTCACATTGATCTCCATTCTTTCTCGTTCTTCGCCGGCCCACAGCCTTAAGAATCACAAATCTGCCTTGTAATCTGAGGGCGCGGGTTCGAGCCTGCGTATGGACAGGACGACTCTTGCAGTATCCTTAGCCTACGTGCGACCGACAGTGGTTACGCTGCAGCGAAGCGTCGGCTTGCTTGAGACTCAAAGAATACTCACCCTGATGAAGCGAAAATTGCTACCGAGATTTCACAAGACCGCAGACTTTATGACAATATTAGGATCAAACATATGTTAGCATTGCGACTCCGAAAGGAGGTAGAAAATGCTCTACAGTCTGGTTGCAAGACAAAGAAACTCGTTGCTATTCTTTGTTCTAGAATCCAGAACTGTTCTTCTCCTTTTACGGGACTTTTGGTTGAACATGGTTAATCCTTTGGTGATCCACTTACCATCTGCGAAGCGCTTGCTGTCACTATGATTTTTGAATCTAATCACATACCTGAATGCTCTCAACCCATAACAAAATTTCTCTCAACACTTCGACAATTAATGAATGGGTGAATTCTCAGCCGTACTCCCTAACTGCGCTTCGCTGCCGCACGAGTACCACCAAACGCGCATGGGCTGAGTACAGCGCGAGAACGCCCGCCCTTACGCGGATTCGAACGGGTTGTATTGTGATTGTGAGCTAGGCATGCAGACCACTGCGTCACCCGTCGACTCAGCAACTAATGGAAACTATCAAACTTTTTCTCAGATTAGAGTCCAACAGCATCAACTCAACTCGACTAGACTTTCCATTACTTTTGTTGAATATTTTCACTTTATCACTACAAACTTATTATTTTCAAATTAATGAAATGTCTCATTCATCAACCTAACGCTATAAAAGTAGTTCTAAGCAAAATGTTGCCAGCTATCGACCGGTTCATCAAAGTCCCGCGATCACCATTTTGTTTGAAATGTTAGTGAAGAAAAGGTGGACGGAATTCCTTAATTCTTTGGACCTATTTAACACATCTCAACATAGCTTCCTTGGTAGACGTTCCTGCACGACCTGCCAGTTACACTATTTTAACTACACTTCAGAATCCATAGACTCCGATCATGCGGTAATACTTTTATTTTTGGACTTATAAACAACATTTACCTGTGTACCACACAAATGGTTATTAAAAAAAGGTTGAATCCTTTGGAATCCGGAACCCGTTTTTCAGTTGGTTTTCATCTTTCCTTAGCATTCAATCACACTTAGTCACTTTGGGTGATCACCACTTTTCGTCTCTTCCAATAACCAGCGGCATCATCCAAGCAACTGTGTACTTGGCGGTTTGCTTTTTTTCCTCTACATCAATGATATTGGCATGTCCATCAAGTGGTGAGATCAAGAATGTCTACAGACGCTTGTGTGGTGCTATTCAGAGCACGCTACTTTTACTTCAACATGCGCTTCACTTTCTTAACTAATTGTCTGACATGTGGCTGATAAACTCGACCGACAAATCAAACATTATGTCATGTGGTTGCTCGGTCCCCGACTTGTCAATTAAACTTAACAACAAAAACATGTCCATACTGCAGTCTACTCTTGATCTTGGAGTCCGATATTCTTCCGGCTTCCGCTTTTCTGAACATGCCTAATATCAAATAACCTGAGCCAGACAATCTGCGGCTAACATATGCCACAAAATCCATTTAGTCCCTGACTGAGGGGGATAATTTAAAATCCTCACTCCACCTATTCTCGCGCAGTGCAACTTCATCTACGGCAGCATGCAGAAATTGAACAGGGAAACTGCGGAGAATTTACACCAAACGTTTATTCAGCGGTGCATCCACCTTAAACTAGCCCGAACATTGTAAACAGGTTTACAAAACTTAATGTAATAGTGAGACTAAATCTTAACATGGTGTGAGGTTTTGAGCTATACTGTTTGGGGACCTTGGGCCACCTAAGAGCTACTCCTACCAGGTTGATCAATGGTTAGAAGTCAGACGAAGTCAGTCTCTTTGTCCTCCAGGTTGGGGGTTTGAATTGGGAAGGTGTCCAATTCTGTAAATCCGAATCGTGGCCACATCCGCTGCCTTGCGGACAGGCATTTGACCCAAAGTCTTTGGTTTAGGACCCTAATTGTTCTGTCTGAGCATCCTTGCAGTATCTCAGCCCATTTACAAACACGACTTCTTCAAACTTCAATCATATCTTGCATCGACCGTCGCACAGATTATCAATGGTCGCCTTATCTGCTGCATACAGCAGGGCCAATAAGCGAAAACATGCTACTGCTGGTGCCTCCTTTCTTTTCCACCTGTTTCTCTTTCTCCCATCCTGACCCCTATTCCTAACCTTCCTTCTAGAATTCCAACTTTAATTGACAACAACCGCAATGCCAACGGAGTCATACCATCTGGAGCTATGTTCCTGCACTACCTACTGGACACTAATCGCCCACACCTACTTATAAAGCCACACTGTCCCGTTTCCTTGGTGCCGTACAAGGTTCGCACTCTATGACAATTCGTTTAATATGGTGCACCGGCACGCATGTTGGACATGCTGTGTATCTACGCGTGTTGTGTGTCAGAAACTAGGCTCAATGAACCTAATGGGGTTGTTGAATTAACTGCGTCCGGCTTGTCCTCTACCTATTGGTTGCACGCATCCGGAGACACTGATGCGGCAGCCTCTGATCAAACTGAGGTAGGTATGGTACTCAGTCCCAAGGCTGAGTCATTGTTGGTTAATTGGATTCCGGTGAACAGCCGTTCGTCTGCAACCCGTGTGACAACATCGACCAAGGTTGATTCACAAACTGATGTAAGACGCTGTTTGATTATGATTTCCGCTTATGCTCCCACCGACTGCAGTTTCGATGTTGCAAAGGACACATTCTACCACCTATACTGCACACGGTACTACGCAGTCCTACCAGTTCCGATATCATAGTACTTGCAGGGGATATGAATGCACAGGTAGGTCGCTTTGCTAGGAGGTAAGTATGGACTTAATTCCGAACGGACGGACAACGGCGAGCGTCTGTTACAGCCGTGCGCGGAGCACCTGCTGTTTCTTAGGAGTACCGCTTTTACATACAGTGGGCGCCAAAGTTCCACTTGGCCTCCCGCGGTAGCTGACTACCGATGGACCCAAATAGATCACGTTGCCATAAGTTGCAGGTGGCGCGATTCCATCCTGGATTGTTGCTCTTTCTGGCTTGTATTGACCTGGAAATTCTCCCGTATGATTGTGTACAATATGCTAAAATATTCTAAAATTGCAGTTTTCCTATGTAATTGGGAATTAGGCGGTTTGCCTGTCCGAATTTAGTTCCCGTTTGTTTGAAACACACAGAAATACAACATCCGCCCTTGAACTCTCCGAACGTTCGGCAAGTGCACTGTTTCGGTCCACGACCCGACGCCTGTCCACGCACCAACGCACGGTTACATCTTCCCTAGCTAGACATCTGGTGCCCAATTTTTAGCATTAGCTAGGTTTTCTCCCATTCATTAAACCTTCTCCCCAGCTTAGCTTTCCGTGTTCTACCGACCACTTTGGGTTGGCCGTCTAGCATCGTATCAGATAACGCACGACTCAGTCACTATAGGCGTATTTGCGTTGACTCTGATCAGGCCTTAGTAGGCTGTCGTTTTTGCATGACCTTTACCTGGAGGCGCACGAAACGTCTCCCCCGATGGGCAAATGAGCAATTATCCCAGCCCTCGGTCGGGCAAGCCTATTAAGCTGCACTGCGTACCGGACTTTCGCTCCCTTGTCCCATGACACTGAGCTTCAGTAGAATGAGATCTCTGTCGCGATGCACGACGGAGGATCATCTGCTTGTCACCCGTACCAGTCACTAGATATCCGAGAAGTCATTGACCCTTCTGGAATCCAACAGAAAACCGGCTGGCTCTGAGCACAATGTGTCCGGGCGGACTATTAGGCGCGAACCAAAACGGAGCCTGCATGATGACAAGGACGCCTTGTGAATCAGTCGGGCTCACGAAATGGAGGAAACATGAGCAGTAGGCAATCATCGCAAGCTCTTCCAGCTGATCCGCACTACTGGTTCCAGGAAACCAGGCATCAGTGAGACAGTCAGAGACAGCGCGCGTGCCCTGATTCACAATAATGTGCACCGGATGGCCGGCTGGGCGGAACACTTTCAAGATCAGTTCAGTTGTCCTCCTGCTTTTGGATCTCTTCCTACTCAAGTGGTGCAGGCTGAGCGATGGCCAGTTAATTTAGAGACCCCATCGGGGGCTGAGGTCCGAAACACGATCGAAGCTCTAAATCGTTTTCATGCTGCTGGCTCGGATTCGTTCGGATAGAGGTGAGATGCTCTGCAAAATACTAACATCCCTGTTCAGACTGGTCTGGATGGTATAGACCATCCTACCTAACTGGAGTGAATCGATTATAGTGACGATACACAAGAAATGTAGTCGCACCGTGATATCCACAAGAGTACTAGCCTCACCCCGGTGGTGACGAAATTTCTGGCCTCAACTCTCGTTCCTTCCCTCAATGCGGAGCGAGAATCACGGATTAGGAAAGAGCAGACAGGCTTCCGCCCGGGCCGGGGCTGTATAGATCACA